ACGCGAGCAAGGCCGCTGGGCCGAATGAACGCCATTCGGCTCAACTCGGTCATCTCGGAAGTTCGAGTTCCAAATATTTGTTCGGATTCCGAGACAAAAGTTTCTCGAATCTCCTGGTCGAATACCGATTTGGTCGAAATTCGAGGCGTTCGAGAACCGAGGTATCACTGTAATTGTTTTTAGGACATCTGGTGATAACTGAGTGATGCTTAATTCTGAGTTTCAGTGCTGTTTCAGGTACAAACCTAGATGTTTATGATGGCGTGAGTGGAGCATTTCGTTTTTATTTTACTTTTTATAGTAGCTCCAGAAGAGTAACAGTTCTTTAAAATATGGATTTACTTACTGCTCTAGCTTTTGAAGAGACGGAGCAAATTCTCTGGCTTCCATGGAGGGATAATGTCCCCCTTTGGACATTTAGCAGATCTTCATCTTGAAGCTCTGTTCTGTCTTCGTTGGGTCTGTATCGTTTGTATGTAGCAGTGGATTCAGTATGATTCTTTTTTCCTTATAAAATGAAGATTGACTAAACTTAATATAGATCTATGAATATCATCACTGGTTCATGCAGCTAAAATGAAAATACACATCTGTAGATGTTTATTTTATGAGGCAGGAGGTAAGAGTGGTTACTAGAGATTTAGAATAAAGGAGTAATTTTCTGCATAGTACAAACTTCTTTTTTGAAAAAAAAAATATATATATGTGTGTGTGTGTGTGTGTGTGTGTGTACACCCAGAATTCATAAGCTGCTTTAGTATACAAAGATTCTAGGCTTTGCTAAGGTAGTCAGAGCTACCTTAATGGCTTGGAGTTAATAACTTTGAGGTAAGCAGTACTTTGGGAATTGGGCTGCTTACCTATATATATATATAAAGTGATACGACAGGACTAAAGGAAAGCTTACCTGAAATGGTAGACATGATCAGGAATACATTTGGGCTAAAAGAATCTCAGTTTTAATTAGATAACTAATTCATTCCTCTATTTCTGCAAAATGATAGTTTCTGTCAAAAATCTTAAAATACTGAAACATGAAAAATAATAAAGGATATAAAGAATTTTTTTTTGCTTTTATTTTTGAAATTTTCATATATTCTTTTCATCAAAAAGCGTATTTTTTATAAGGATAGTGGCTTGACACATTTTAAATTATAATTCTGGCATATAAAGAAATCTGTGTTTACATTAAGCATAGCTTATTCATGTTAAGTCGTTTCAGTTTGGAAATTATTAGTGAGAAAGCTAGCAGGTGCTTGTATACACTTCCTTCTTCAAAAGAGAAGAGTTTATCTTTGTGCTGAACTATTTTAGTGGCAGTGATGGAATAATACAGACTTTATTAAGTACATATTACAAATATAAAGTATATTTTGGTTAAATTTTAAAAAGTATTTTTAAATTGGTGAACAATGACTTATTTTTAAATCTTGATGTATGTTACAGTATATATTATACTTTAGATGAGTTTATAACTAGGAATGTTGGGAAAGTTTTGATACTTTGTTTAACATGGAAATAGGCTTAAGAGTTCTTGTTGCAGGTTTTTGAGTAACTAAAACCTTAAAACATCTGTTGTTTAGGCTTATTCGTTAAGGTAAATGTTTTGGCTAGGAGATTCTTTCATTTCCTTGGTTGCGTAATGTATCACCATTTAAATTGCTTGAAGTGTATTTGAAAATATTTCATTCTTGTTTTCTACTCCTTTAGTCAACTAGTGCAGTTCAGCTCAAAACAGGTTCACTAGGAAGTTGATATGAATTTGTAATTATCGCAAATGTCTACTGTGCAGTACATCTTCATTCTGAAATGCCTAGGGTACAAATTAACTTTGACAATCGTTAGAGTAAATAAACTCATTGGTCCACTGAAGACAAAGCCAAATGAACTATTCTCCCCATACCTCCTTCCTCAAGGTAGTCGGCAGCTTTTGCCATTTCATACATTCTTTGGCTAATCTCTTAAAAATAAGGATCCTTCTATTACTCATCTAATGAGTGTGATGTGATTTATTGTAAGAGAGGCACAATATATTAAATCTGAGTGGAGAATTCCTGGCATGTCCTAAGATGCTTTTAAAAAATAATGAACTACAGATACAAGAAGAATTAAGATTTTTAAACTGGCCTAGGAATTGGAGGGTATATGAGTTCTCACCTCGGTTGTGTCATGGGGAAAGCTGCTAAAATCTTAGAGCTTGAATGTCCTTATCCACGAAAGGAGGAGGCTGATGAGATGCAGCCGCAGGAGTTTTGGGTGGCAGGGCCAGGGCAGATACAGTTTGTGTGGTTGTGCCCAGCACTCCCGTGCATTTTCGTGTCTTTAAGTAGGATGTGCATTTCCCCATTCATTGCCTCCACTTCCTGCCAGTTAGCACCAGGTTCCTCACGGCTGTATGGATCTGAGTGGCCCTCATAGACTTTGTAGGTGCAACCCTTGGACAAGACATCACTCCTAGCTTTTAAGAAATTCTCCATGTTTCCTAAGCTGTCACAGCAGTTCTAGCAGAGCGCTTTGTCACCGTTCAAACACGTTGTTTCTTAGTTTTCAGGGGGGAAAACGAGCTGCATTTTTCTCCTTTAGTTGGTATTAGGTGGCCTAGAGTTGGCACATTGTTCCTTAGAATAAGAGAATATCAGAGGGGATGTGTTCTCCATTCAGCTAGCAATTGAGCATGGATTTTCCTGCCTTACTTTATAGAAGCTTACTGAACAACTGCTGTAAAGCTGAAAGGCTCATGGTTTGAGGCATAGTTATACTGTAGAGGCACTGGCGTCTTCCTGTGGAGTGCCACGCTGCCCCTTGGTGTCTGCACCTCGTTTTCTTGATACCATGCTTATCTCATTGCAGTGTCTGTTAAGGCTGCTTCTGTTGAGGGTCTAAGGTGAGCACATTACCAGGATCAATAGATACCATCTTAACATGCTTTTCTGACAGTAAATAAAGCCACATTGGATAAGCAACAAGCATAGGCACAGCCCATTTGTTTATTTCCGTAGTTAAACATTAGCCATCCACTTGTTACAGTGGACACATGGGAGTGTTACGTCCTTGGCTTTACAGGCTGGCATGTTCCTTCTTCTAAAGATTCTGTTACGGATGCTCTGCAGATGTCACTAGGAAAGGAGATTTAGAAAGGGACCTTCATGCTTGATAGTAGAAGTAATTGTTTACGTGTTAAATAATGAGTGTGGTGTAGGTCAGTGAATTAGCTAGATTGCCAATGTTTTGGGGGTTGGTGTTTAATGTGGTAATAGTATATGGTGTTTAGTATGGTAATAGTATATATGTGTGAACACACTGGCAGTGTTTCTGGGATGATACTTGGACCTAGTCAGAAATTTTGAGACTCATTTTCAATACACAGTAAAGTTACTATTTTATTTTATTTATGATTTTATCTTTATTGTTGAAAGTATTACAAATGTCCTCCTTTCTCCCCCATCACCCCTTCTTCCTGGCTCCACTCCCCTCGTGCTTTCCCCAAACTGTTGTCTGTGTTTATTGGTTATGCATATGAGTTCTTTGGTCTGTATCTTTAAAGTTACTATTTTAATACTAGCTTCATTACAAAGATAGTTTTTTTTTACTCAGTAGCCGATTATCAAAAAATACAATATTTGTAAAATATAATTTTTTAAATATCTGTTTATTGATTTTTTTTTTTTTTTGGAGAGAATGGAAGGGGGAGAGAGAGAGAAACATCGATCGGCTGCCTGCTGCACGCCCCCTACCGGGGATCAAGCCCGCAACCCGGACATGTGCCCTGAATGGGAATTGAACCCGGACCTCCCAGTCCCTGGGATGACGCTCAGTCCACTGAGCCACACCGGCCAGGCTGTAAAATAGATTTTTTACTATATGAAGAAACTGGTTTTTATAGAACCATGATGTTTATGATCAATTAGTGAGAAGAATAGGATTTAGACATTCAGCATAAGCAAACTTGGCTAACAATGATTCTTGTGTTAAAAACACCGGGAGACAGCCACACCAAAGCACAGGCAAAACGAACAAATTAAGAATCACGTGATAGGGAATTATGGAGAGGCCAAGGTTCAGTGTTGCCTTTGAATATACGTTAACAGCCCCAAGTCAAGAAAATATTTAGTCTCTCACCAAAGTCCTGCTTTTGGAGAGTCAGGGTGTTGGGTTGTTCAGCCTTTCGACTTAAACGTGTTGGGCGGCGCCTTGGAACAGCGCGCTGGAGCGGCCGGGAGGCACTGGAGATGCTCCCCAAGTCATCTCTGGAGGGACGACCTCAGTGTGTACCTGTCAGATCGCAAACATACCTCCGGCTCTGCTTGTTGCTGATTGAACAAGTGCCGTCAGCCCCTGGAGTGTGTGACACCAGCTGAGCTAAGTGCCCTGGACCAAAGCACTTGGCTTCATGTCAGATCGCTTAGTCCTGCAGTGGTTCTCTATCTGTGGGTCACCACCTCTTTGGGGGTCGAACGACCCTTTCACAGGGGTTGCCTAAGACATAACAGCAAAATTACGGTTATGAAGTAGCAACACAAATAATGTTATGGTCGGGGGTCACCACAACGTGAGGAACTGATTAAAGTTCGCGGCAGGAGGAAGGTGGAGAACCACTGGCTAACGATGAGGCGGGGCTGCAGCAGTGAGCTTGCGGGTGGCCGACGTTCAGGTTCAGAGCACGCTGGGCTCACTAGACGGCGGACTCCGCTCACCTTCCTTGCGGTCACTTAGATTTCTGTTTGTATGTGAGACAGTGTATTGATTTTGGATTTTCTGAAAGGCAACACATTTGTTAGTGTTGAGGACGACTTCATCGCTCAGTCCTCTGAAGGGGAGGTTTCTTATATTGCCCTTATGTGGGAAGCCCATTTATTACATTTCTTTTAGCATCAGTAAAGTTTCTGTTGTCCTTTTGAAATAAGACTTAACCATGAAGAAGAAGAATCCCTGAGGTGCGTTGCCTGTTTCAGCGAGAGAGAAGTGAGCTCCCTGACGTGGCTTGCGCTCTGTTCTTGCAGGGGTGCGAGCCTGTCTGCAGAGCGGACGCCGTGAGCAGGAGGACGAGTACGAGATTCCCGAGGGGCCGCGGAGCAGCAGGCTCAACAGGGAGCAGCTGGTATTTCCTTTTGCTACTCCTTTCATTGTTCTCACTGTATCTGAATATTACCGCCATCAGGAAAAACTTCTGCCCTTTCAACAAGTGCAGGTGACCGATTAAAAATTTAATTGTACTTATTTCAAGCACTTGATTCTGAGAGATGATCACGATGAGCTGTAAAACCCAGAAGACAATAATTCCACCCCGTTAATGGGTTTTTGGCATCTTGAACATCACCATAAACCTTTCAGAAGCTGAGGTTACGTCGCAGATACAGGAAGCAACTTGAAAGAAGACTTACAGCTGCTGCTCCGATTTCGTTACCATATGTCTTTATTGCCATATATCTCAGTTTTAATGGATAATATTCCATTATTCTGTGGATGTATATTAGAAATGATGAAGAAAGATTTTCATACGAGGGGATTCTAAAACTTTTTTTTTTTTCATAAAGCATACAAGTGTGTCTCCTAGCTCATTGGATCCTTAGCCTTGGCTTCAGAATGTAACGTCCCCAAGGAATACATCTCTAAACCCTGCAGGCCACACCCTGCCACAGCTGCTCTGGAGACCTTAGGTTGGTGGCACACGGGCCTGAATGTAGATGGGCAGAACGGAAGGTCCATGGCACAGATGCTACTCTTATCACTTAAGTTTAGCGCGTGTCCCTGAAGCGTATTTCAGATACCCAGGGATCCTTTGGCCGTGAAGTCCCACCAGATATGAGTAAACTGTCCGATAAAAGAAGTTTCATGAATAGTTTTTATTTACTTCTTTTGTTTTATACGAAACACACCTAACCTGCTTTTAACCAGCTTTTTGTTGTTGTTGTTATTTCAGTTGCCAAAGCTGTTTGATGGATGCTACTTCTATTTTGGGGGAATCTTCAAACACCATCCAAGGGACAACCTTATTAAGCTCGTCACCGCAGCGGGAGGTCAGATCCTCAGGAGAAAGCCCAAGCCCGACAGCGACGTGACCCAGACCATCAACACAGTCGCCTACCATGCCCGACCCGACTCGGATCAGCGCTTCTGCACACAGTACATCATCTACGAGGACTTGTCCAGCCACCGCCCAGAGAGGGTTCGGCAGGGCAAAGTCTGGGTGGCTCCTTCCAGCTGGTTTATAGATTGTGTCATGTCCTTCAAACTGCTCCCTCTCGACAGCTGAAGACTGTACGTGAACATTTCGAATGGAACTTGTGAGAACCCAGTCATTCTACTGTTTCGATGATTCACATTTGTATCAATAGGCAGACTCATTCATATATTTTTTTCTTGAATTAAAAAGATATCTTATGCCAGATTAGGAATTTATTCTGTGTTTACCATTTAGATGCTGAGATTGCATTGAACGATTTTCTTTTTAAAACTGATAGGTGTTTTGATTCATCATGTCTTTCTACTGAAACTGTCAGCTATCAGAGATTAATGAAAGGGTATCAGAACTATTGGTTGATATACGAGTGGTATTAATGTCTCAGCCTTTTAATGTTTTTTGATCAAACAATCTACACCTGCCACCAGCAGAAATTGCCATCCTTTTAGTAAACAAAGAATATTGTCACATAATTTATTGTGATGAAAATAGAGTACCTGGCCTACATGTGTTACCAGAGGTGTTAACTTTTTCTCCTGTCTACAGTTGCATTCATTTTACATTGTGTTCATTTAGTTTCTTATAATTTACGTGGATGTCTGTTCCTATACTTTTATCCCTTATTTTTATCTTGCCTTTTTATCAGGAAATCATGGCTTCATAACCTTAACATTAATTGTTCTTTGGTGGTGAAAATCAACATTGGCTCATGCCACATATTTTTGCTGTATGCACTTGCTTATCGGTGACTCAGCATGCTGCAGTCCTTATCTCTATGGATAGACCTCGAGCATTTTCTCCAATATATTTTAGTAGCAATATTTCTTAGAAGGTCTCACCAGTCAATCAAATGTTAGTAAATTAAATTAGGAAGCAGTCTTTTTCTGGTAGACCCTACTATCTATACGAAAATAATTTTTTAAAGGTCTTAATTTCTTCCTTCATAAAGGTTTTTTTTTTTTAATTTTTAGGTTGCTTTGTAGGCAGAAGTTGGGGATTAATTGACTTAGAACAGATTTTATCCAGATGATACAAAAGGCCGTAACAATAAGTCTAAAGGTAGGAGTGGGAAGAGCTTACTCATAACAAGACCATCAAGGTTGTGGGTAGTGGACAGGATACCACCTGCGAAGGGGGAGACCTGGGGAGGTGACCCAGGTCTGAGTGTTCTCCTTTGTGAATCCTCAAGGTAGATTCGATCACTTAAAAACATGTTTTAAAAGTCTCCCTAGAAACTGAATGTTCTTAATAACACTGAGGACATGGGAAGGAAGACACTGAGACCTGTCATTTTGGTCGCTGTGGGCCAAAGAGCAGTTTGATGACCACTGGATTAGAATGCTGAGTCTGGAGTTAATGGATGTTTTATGATTGATTTATTTGAAAGTTGGAGATTCTGCTGATTATTCAAAATAAATTCTGCTTTAATTTCTTCTTAGGCATTTTATATCTCCATATCAGGAAATAATACTATGTGAATACAGTAATGTACTGCAGACTGACCTTCAGGGGTGACTCAGCTCCGAAACTCTCCAACCAGTACTGTGTTTGTCCCGAGTTCCCTTCTAATGGAGAGTGATGAACACCAGAGCACCAAGCAAAGCTGAGGGGTTAGATAATGTCTGGATGGGAGCATTTAAGATGCTTTGGGATTTGAATTGTCATTTTTGACTTATAACTGACTTTTCATCATTTTCTATTAGCTCACTGGTCACATTCCTAGACAGGTGTGTGTCTGTTCCTCTGATCTGAATCCCTGTGTGTTAAAACACCTGTGGGGATGCTGCTTGCTTTCCTTTGTCCTTTTCTTGGTCTGTCTGCTTCCCTCTTTGTCATATTTTGTCTCCCACTATTAAGCAGTTTTATTTTTGCTCTCCTTAAATATTTATTTTGACAACGGTTGATTGTTGTCAAGCTCTTGAAACTTGTACTTTCTGCATAGATATACTTGTAATTATTTTCATTTTTCAATCATAGATTCAAGCTTCCTTTTATGTACCTTAAATCATTAAAGTTATTGGTGTTTCTGTATCTTCTGTAGAGGTGGTTTATTCTGCACTCCTGAAGAATGAGACTCAATAAGACTTGTGAGGAAACCTTTCAGCTAATAAAAAATTATCTTTTTAAACACTAATGCTTTTTAGTTATTTTTGGATATAATATTTCTAAAGTATATTAGACACTTTAGTGCCTTAAACATTTTTCTAAATACAATGTAACCTCGGTAGTTTGGAACCATCAAGTATAGTTTTTGTACATAAGGTTCACCATTTATTTTATCTGTCTTGCTTTCTTTTGAGCCTGCTTTGTGAATGTTGCAATTAAGTGACTTCCGCATAGATGATGGTTATGTTTAGGGAGGTTTGATGTTTCCTATGGGAATAAGAAGATGCAGAGTGTGTGTGTGACATTACACACGAGTTATTACTGCCTGCATGGGTTGGAGTAGAAAAATAGTGTCTTCAAAAGGTTTGTGGACCTCATCACAGTCCCACGTGTCTATTCTGTTCTCTAATGAAAACACATGAAAAGGGCAGAAAGTAATGCTTAGTTAGGAACTCTAAGCCACTATTTTGTTTGAAGATGGACTGAATGGTACATTGTGAACAACATATATTTTACTAAGTCAACCCTTTGCAAAGGTACGTACATCCAAGCAAAACTCAGCAACTGTTCTGATTGTTTTCAGTCAACTCATCCTGTTTTATTTTTGGCATACCCTTATGAATTAGGGATGCTAATTAGTTGTGTAGCTTCCTAAGGCACAGGGTCCACCTTTGATACCCAGAAGTTTCTCCTAGAACGGCACCGTGAGAGACGTGGGGAGGCTGGCACCAGCCCTGAAGAGGGCTGCTCGGCCAGGCCGCGTGCCTGCAGGCCATTCTGAGGTCATAACCTACTGCTGGGCTCGAGGCTGGCTTAAAGGCAGGAAGGCCATGACTCCTGCGTAGGCTTTGACGTCCGTGCGACCTGGGTTTGTTGACTATCTCTTCACTAGTTTATAAAGTGGGGTGCTGCAGTTATAAAGTTTATAAAGTGGAGAGAATACTGTCTATCTCACGTGGACGTAAAGATGAACAAAAGCACTGAGCACTTGGTTGGCGATGGTAGGATCACCTTCCCGCATGGCTGTGAGCAGGATGGATCAGAGACTTCTCTAAAAGCAGCTCGCCGTGGTCCTGAAGAGCCTGCCCAGCTGCTGGCTGGCTTCCGACTTGCATGTTACTTACTCAGTAGCCTTCACCACAACCAGGACCTGGCCCGTCTGGCTAATTCTCACCCCTGCCTTCTCTCCATCTGTGAGTGAAGTTTCCTATCAGTAACTGTCCTGCTCAGCCCTTCTGCATGACCTTGGGATAACCTTACTTTACATATTTCTAAAAAAAAAAAAGGCTGATCTTTTCTACCTTTAGTCATAATTTGTGAGACTCCTTTTAATTATTAATACTACAAGTTTGCCAAAATCATTCCTCTTTGCCTGCTGGCTAAAAGAATATTACCAAAATATTTCGCAATCAATGAAATATAAAGGCGTTTTTCTGAATTTTACCAACGTGGCTATATTCAAGTTTTTAAATAACTGCTTACAAGAGTTTTACATAATTGTTGTAGAAAGTCTGCAAAGTACAGAAACACAAGGAAGAAAATAGTCCCCAAATTCAGGAGTCATACAGAGCCGAACTATTGGGTTTGGCCATCATGTCAAACGTGTTTATTGGAAGCTGTTGAAAGGGTTTCACTACCCCCTGCTGAGTGACCCCTTCCATTGTATTTACTTGGGCCTTGGAAATATTGTTAACTCACAACCCAATATAACTATTAACATTCTTTTTTTTCAAATTCATTTATGCACACACAGCTTTTAGAACTAAGGCGTAAACCCTGAATATACATTTATTCCATATTTTCTCATGTAATGAGATATTCTTCTCTATAATTTTCAGTAGTTGCATCTTATCAATATGTGTTATAATTTAACCAAATCCCTGCTCTTGAATATTGACATTATTTTGATTATAGATGAAGCTATACAAACATTTATAATAAATGTTGGTCGTGGGGGCAGTGGGAGGTTTCCTTTAAAATGTCACCTTGCATCACCTTCTCTCATTCCCATTTTGCAAAGTGCAGTGCACACCATGTACATTTAGATTAAGACTTAACAGTTGTGCTTAAAATATAAAGATTGTAAAATGAGTCTTAATTGATTGCTATGATTTTCATGAGTTGATGAAACTATATGCAAGGTTTAAAACATTCCAGCTCTTAGGGGCTCAGAACTAACCAGAACAACGGGGGTGGGGACGGGGGTTGGGGGAGGGAGTCAGGCCTTTTGGTAGAGGCCCCAGAAACCATCTGACCTGGGAGGCGACAGCGTGTTAAGATGAGGAAGCAGGTCCAGAGAATTCTAGATCACACAGCTTCTTGGTGGCAGGGCCCAGATTAAATGCATGTGTTCTCTCTGCCTCCCCACTCCCAGGGTACACTGCACCTTTTAAATAGACTTATTCATGTATTGGTGTATTTATTTTACACGCTTAGAGGAAGGGAGAGAAACATCGATGTCTGAGAGAAACATTGATCAGTTGTCCCCCGGACATGCCCCAAGCACTGGAGATCAAACCTGGAACCCAGGTATTCGCTCTGCCTGCCCTGAATCGAACCGGCAACCCTGTGGTGCACAGGACGGCACTTAACCACCTGAGACACTCCAGCGGGGCAGGGTACGTTGCATCCTTCAGTAAACTGAAGCATTTGCTGTTCTAGAGGCTATGATCTGACTTCTACCTGTGTGAACTGATTGGACTGGTCTAGGGCATCTAGAAGGGAGAGGACATCTGTCCCACCTGGCTGGAACCCCACCTTTACTTCAGCAGACATCACTAATCAGTGCATCTGTCTCAAAACCAAAAAGGGTCTTAATTTTTCTCAACTCTTGTTTCCGGTAGCCACAACTAAGTGATCAAGTTGGTATAGCAGATGGATGGATTTGCTAGCATTAAACTGAGTCATGCTTTAAAAACCTAAGTCATCCTTATATGTTTGTTGCTGTCCCCACAGCATAGACATATACTAGAAAATTATAGGACTTATTTCAGCCAATAACTGTAGCTCAGTACAGAAGTAATTTTGAACTGGGAGGACATGCCCTTCCAGTGGAGAGTTGAAGGGGTTAAAAAAAAACACACAAAAAAAGCTCAAAGACTCGGAGAGAGAATAGGATGGAGAAATATACTTAAAAAAAAATAATCCAGGTGGTTTCTATGCCTGCAGCTTCCACAGTTGTAAGTCACTGCTTTGTTGGGAATTTATTGGGAATTTACTGTGACAGGGTCATATCACATGGACATCGTGGTTCTGATTTAGGTGCCCCCCATTGCAATGCAGTGTGTGCGTGTTTGACTGAATGTAACTGTACTTTATGGATGTGCTCTGTCTGATTACCCGAGACACACATATCTGAAACTAAGGTAGATGGTGTTTGTTGTAGAATATGGTGACTGGTATGCCTTAAAGTGATCTCTCTTCTCATTGTAGTAATGATTTCCTCTTTCTGCTGAAGTCCAGACACCCGGCTATAAATTCAGATTATTTTTCTGGGCTGTGGGGTGGTGATTCACAAGCATGACGTTTAATTCATCTTAAAGTGGAATTCAGATAGTCTGAAGAGTAAACTAAGTCTGAAGGTTTTTGTTGACCTTCCTTTTCCAGATATATAACTGAAGAACCAAGTCTTGTGAAAAAGGCAACGGACTTTTTCAGTAAGTACCCTCTTCTTTATAAACGGCTGTGCAAAGATTCACTCGCAATTGTATAGGCATTTTATCCTTTTCCTTTAAAAACTATGTATAGACTTACATTTTCAAAAGAGGTTGAACAAGAGTTTGATACTGTTTCGCCCACTGATTTGTACATTGATTCATCGAATAGCTATGGGACAACCACCGGACACCAGGCTCTGTCATTCATGAGGAGCAACTGCGGTGAGTAAGACCCGGCTGCAGACTTTGAGTGGCTCACTCTGGAGAGCACACAGTGAACAGGTGATGGCACAGGTATCGTCCTTGGCAGGAAAGGCTCCCGTTGCTGTGTCAGGCCATACTTGCAGAGGGCCACCTTGTCACACAGGACTCCCTTGGCAGAAGACCCACCAGTGTTTGCCCTGGACGTGATCAGTTTACTTTTGAAAAGGTATCTAAGACTCCGTCTTAGGACCAGATGGATTAATATTTCCCATGCTAGTCACTAATATGTTCTGATTCCCCTTGAGTGATACTTGCAGTGTTTTGCAGAGAAGAATGACATTTCATCAATAGTTTATTAGAGGGTTTTTTTCCTTTAATTAGGAAGTCAAGTCAGAAGTGATATGCAGCTTGCTTAAGCCATGACTAGGAAATGAGTTTCTTGCTCTCAGTGTTTGATTTGCTAAATTAGCAAATTTAATCTCAAGAGAATGTAAACAGTAAAAACATCCAGATTTAGTTTATCTACTATTTTAAAAAGTGCAACTTTTAAATATTCATGCTGGCTTTTTACAAATTCAGACGTACTCACCAGAAGGGATGTTTTTATTTTTTTAATGTAAGAAAAGTTTTCTAAGTGGATTGTTGGCATTTGAAAATTTTCCCTATTGTAGCAAAGTGATTTGTGTACCTAATTTAAAAAGTCAAATAGTGCTAATAGATTTAGGCTGAAAAACCTTAGTTGTCTGTACCTCTTTCTCAGTCTTACTTAAAACACAATCACTTTCTCTCTCTCTTTTTTTTAAAATTTTTTTTCATTGATTTTAGAGAGAGAGGGAGAGGGAGAGAGAGATAGAAATATCGATGACAGAGAACAGTGATTGGCCGCCTCCTGCATGCCCACCAATGGGGATCAGGC